GGGCACAGTTTTCTTCAGCTTAGGGGAAATCTTAGGAGAAGGACATTGATAATTTTACTTGCCTTTAATTTGTTTACATGACTGCTCAAACAGATGAAAATAAAGTAGATGGGATGAATGTCCCAAAAGGCCAAACTGGGACCTCTAGCCGTGGACCAGGAGACGGAGGGAACAAAGACCACTGGAAGGAGTCAGATAGGTATGCTTGTTCTCTTTCTCATTATCATCTTTCCTCTGATCCACATGTTTGTGTAATTAAGAAATTAAGTTCTTGGTTCTCAAAGCACTGTCAGATCTCTCATTGTGAGCAAACTAAAGTCAGCCAACATAAGACAGTTAAGATTCTGAAAATCTAGAAGTAATACATCGTCCAGACAACAAGGACTGTTGACTAGAGGTGCCTGTTCAGTGCCTTGAAACTATGCATGCACATATTTGTATTAGGCGAGTCCTTTCCTAAAGATGTGGTTTATGCTTACGTCTCTGTAGGAAAGATGGCAAAAAGGATCAAGACTCCAGATCTGCACCTGAGCCAAAGAAACCTGAGGAAAATCCAGCTTCGGTAAGTGTTGAAGGCTGCTCCCAATTTTTCGTAGAATACTTTTTGCTGTTGGACTTCTTTCCATTTGGAATACAAAGTGTTTGGAAATAAGACATTGGTCTTTATCTGAAATAGCACAAGAAGTTTAGCTTTTTCCTGGTTTCTGCCTTCCTTTGTTCTCATCCCTTCTGCAAGGTGTAGAGGTGGTATGGGACTACATTAAGATCACATGTGCCTCTGACCCTCTTCCCTAGCTCCTCTCCAGTGGACGATGCTGATGACTAAGCAAGTGGGTGTCATCTGACTGTCATCCCCCATTGCCAAAGGATCGGTATTCTGTGTCTTGGGTTTTGATGTGATAATTCAAGGCCTTCATTATCCTGTCACTCTCGTTGTGTTACAGAAGTTCAGTTCTGCAAGCAAGTATGCTGCTCTCTCTGTTGATGGTGAAGATGAAAACGAGGGAGAAGATTATGCCGAATAGACCTCTACATCCTGTGCTTTCTCCTAGTTTCTCTCCACCCTGGAACATTCGAGAGCAAATCAAAACCTCTATCCAGACAAGACAAAATAAAACTCACCATCTCCTGAAGACCTTTCTTACCTTTTTTTAAAAACAAAAAATGAAATTATTTTGCATGCTGCTGCAGCCTTTAAAGTATTGAAGTAACTGGAGAATCGCCAATATAGCCAGAGAGAAAGGGACTACAGCTTTTTAGAGGAAGAGTTGTGGTGCGTTATGTCACCACACAGTTGCCAGTGTGATTAGTGCCTAGGGGCCTCCATTTAGCAGAAATGGTAATGACAGTGATATAACGTCTGGAACCTGGTTGGGCAGTAGGGGAGGGAGGTAGAAGGAAAATTGTGAGATTTCTACCTTTTAGTTTTTATCCTATTGTGGCATATATGAATTCTCAAAACATTATCTGAATAAATTTTCCACTCTTGGAAAGGTAGATTTAGCCTCAAGTTGTTTTAGTCTCCAGGAGGCTGCAAGCCCCTCCTCTTATTTAATTCTGAGTTTTGGGGGCCAGCCTAGGGGGAATTTTTTTTTTTAACCCCCCAGGGGGGTAGTTGGGAGTGAGACTATAGGCCATAAAGAATAGGACTGCATTGGACCAAAATAAATGGAAAATCGTGGTTTGAAAAGAAGCTTTTGGGAAGTGATGAGTCATTTTGTACCAGGTAATAGGGGAAAATTGTGTGACCTCCAGCAAACACATGAATGGTTATTTCCTGGAGCCGGAAGCACTTGGGGGTCGTGGTAATTCCCAGTGTTTTCTGTGTCCTAGTTTTACCCTTTCTAAACACTGTCCTTTTTGAAAGTTTGAATATATCCACATTCTGTTGAAACCTTGAAACTAAAAACTTAGACTCTTGTCGTCATCTTAAGTTCTTCATGCTACTCTTAACCTCCCAAAAAGCAGTCTCTTAAGTCACATAGATGATGTCTTGGGCATTTTCTCTCTCAGCCATGGAGAGCTGTGAAAGGAAGAATCGCTGCTTTTCTCAAGCAAATCGGTTTCTTGATGTCTTTTGGTTCTCACTCCTTGCCTGCTCCTGATGCTTTGACCCCTTTTATAGATCAGAGTGCTCTAGAATAATGGATGGTCTTGGATGGTGGATAAATAGGGACAGGGACAGTTAAATTGGGAGCCTTTTTTACAACCTTGATGAGTTTTTTCCCCCCATGTTTCCTTCTCCACTGAAATGCTACACCAATGCTTGTTGGATTCATGAGGTAGCCAGACCAATGTGTTGTTTTTCTTTATTATTATTTTTTAAAGCTTCCCTTGAGAGAATAAATGGTAATGGAGAGAACTATTTAACAAGGTCCTGGTTTCTCTTGCAACACAGTAGCTAAACTTGCCTGCTTGTATGTGCATTTTTGTAGGGATCGGCTTGGTAGACAGTATTAGCAGAGAAACGACACCTTGATCTTGGTTTGCAAGCCCGTCTCCCATCAGTCCTAGATTAGGCCCTGTTCAGCCATGCAGGGGTGTTGGTTTATGCGTGCTGCAGCAGTGGGCATAATATAATTCACCCAGTTGACAAAGGTGTGTACCAAGTGAATTTAAATAATTGGTGTGGATTGGCCAGTAGCTAAGAAGTGGGCTTTTAAAGAGTGTTGAAGATTGAAAGGTTTTTTTTTTTATAAAAAAAAAAAAAAAAAAAAAAAGGAAAAACCATTGATTGTAGATAATGAAAAGCTAGGGTTTGCCCTCTTCATGTCTACTCTCCTTCCAAATAGTTATATCCAAAACTGTTTTTCCCTCTCCCCTGCCTTGTCCCCCCTATTAAAATAGAAATGGGGATTAATGTCCCGCTCCTGAATACATGTAAAATTTGTACAAAAATATCTTCTATGAAAATGATTTGTAATCTGTAGACTTATTACCTGGGAGATGTCTTGATGTAAAATCCCATCCTTTGGGTTGTGGGTTTTTTGTTTTCTCCAAATAAATCTGATCTTTAAAGTTCATTGTAATGCTGAAATTCTTTGACATATACTCTTCACTCCCAGTGGTTTCTACTGGAATCATTGACCGCCTGTTCCTCCTTCCCCCACCATCTCTGAAGTTTTCATTTAGCATTAGATACCATATTGTCCAAGGTCAGAGGGTGGGGTTACAAGGTAATCCATTAACAATGTTTATTGAGGCCCAGTAATACAGTTTGCATCCCAGCTCCCCTCTTGCTTGTTTTTTGGCCTGGTGTTAATTATTTAATCACCTGGATGTGCTTGCAGTCTATTTCCTGTACTGTTTATTTTAATCAAGATGTGGGAACTCTAAGAATGAATCCTTGCGTCCTTGGGGCAGTTCCCTCATAATCTCCCTCCCTTACTTCAGCAATCTGGAGAGGTGCTGCTCCCTTGAGTCAGCACTGCACTGGTGGACCAGAGATACTGGTGACAACCTGGTCAAGGTTACCAGAACAGAGGCTTACAGACTCAGTGGGAATTTTCCAAACAGCTAGGGACAGACTGGTCATTGTTGCAAGGCAGGAAAGGGGTTAGGACAGTGGCAGAGAATCCCTAAGGTCACAAGGAGGTGGAGCATACAAAGGAGCCCGGGAAAACCTCAGTCAACAATTTTGGGGATTTAAGAGCCAAGAGGAGGAGCCAGTTAACACAAATGGCATTTCCCAGCCAACTGGAGCAGCTGCTCTTCTAGTTTCTGGCCAGTGCATTTTTCTGTTCTCCAAAATTGGCAAAGTTGAGGGATATGAGACTCAGCTGTGATGATGTGAAGGCTTTTCAATGTGGCTTTAGGTGCCCCTATCGTCCAGGCTGCCTGGGGAACCTACAAGGTAATGCTTGTTCACTGCCTCTCTACCACTGGAATCAGTTTCAGTCACATTCTCCAAGCTTTTGTTTCAAGCCACTCTCTTAGCTGTGCAATACTGAGGTTTAGGTAAATGATGGAAAGAAGGAACAAAAATAGGAAAGGCTTGTTGAAAGAGGTTTATGATGGCTGTGTACAGAAAGGGTATAGAGGAAGGCCCTGTGTATGGCCACATCCTCATAAAGTGTGTGGCCAGGTGCAGTGACTCACGGCTGTAATCCCAGCACTCTGGGAGGCCAAGGAGGGCAGATCACATGGTCAGTTCTAGACCAGCCTGGCCAGTATGGTGAAACCCTGTCTCTACTAAAAATATGAAAATTAGCCAGGCGTAGTGGCACACACCTGTAGTCCCAGCTACTCAGGAGGCTGAGGCAGAAGAATCACTTGAACTCAGGAAGTAGAGGCTGCAGTGGACCAGGATCGTACCACTGCACTCCAGCCTGGGTGACAGAGCAAGACTGTCTCAAAAAAAAAAAAAGATGTGTGTTAGCCGTGCATGGTTGCTCACATCTGTAATCCCAGCAGTTTGGGAGGATGAGGCAGGAGGATCGCTTGAGCCTAGGAGTTTGAGACCAGTCAGGGCGACATGGCAAGACCCTTCTCTACAAAAAATAGAAAAATTATCCAGGTATGGTGGTGTATGCCCATAGTCGCAGCTACTCGGGAGGAAGGATCACTTGAACCCAGGAGGTCAAGGCTGCAGTGAGCTGTGATCACACCACTACACTCCAGCCTGGGCAACAGAGCAAGACCCTGTCTCAAAAAAAAATTAAAAAAAAAAAGGTGTGGGTCCACCCAGAAGCCTCCCAGCTGCAGAAGTGGACCCAGGACTGGTCAGCCCTCATTGCCAACCTCTTGTAAATCTTGAACTACTGGACAAGTAGGGGGAAAGTGCAGGTACAGCATCCTACTTCACAAGGGCTAACTTGAGGCTGGTTAGGTCCCACGTGTATCCCAGTCCACATTAGCCTAGTTTCTTCTCAATAGAATCAAACACTATACTCTGGATCCCAAGGCACTAGGGTCCCAGTTCGTGCTGAGGGCGTCGCCTCAAGTGCTAAGCGAGCTCACAGCATCTGGTTTCTCAGGAAGTGAAAGAGCTACACATCTGCTCCTGGGAAGCATTATTTGTCAAATAAGCCTTGTTTCTCAGCAACCATTGTAGCCCCCAGGGCCACAAGTAAAGAGGGACTTGCCTTCCCTTACCCTCCCCCAAAAGAAATTTGGAAGAGACGAGCTGAGCTGCTCCCCGCCCAGCTGCAGCAACCTCCTGCTTGGACAATACACCCTCTGTCCTCAGCCAGGAGATCCGCCTCTGGAGTTGGCTCTGCCCCTTCCCCCACTCTTCCTGGTTCCCAGCACCCAAACCCTCTACTGGAGTTCTCCTGACCCAGTGGTCTCCAGCCAGGACAATCCCACACCTTCAAATCTTCCCCCTACAGTCCCTGCACCCCAAGGATCTGAGCACATTCAGTAACAGGCATGGGGTCACCCCAGACCATGGAAGAGGGGGTTCCACCTTCAGTGCCAAGATGGACCACCCTCTGCATAGTCAAGGTAAGAAAACCTGTGTGGAGGGAGACCAGAGGTGTTCCTGAAATTATTTGGCCTTTATTAATATCAACCTGGCTTTCTCCTCCTCCCCTTCTCCCTCCTCTCTGAAGCTCCTGCTGCTGTGAGCTGGAAATCAGGATGCCTGGCTGGCCCATGAACCTTTCATTTTTGTTTCACTCCCACCAAGCTACCTCCTGCATAACTTCTTATTCTCAGCCTTTCTCATCAGCTTCCTTCCTGCAGCTCCCTTCCCCACTATCCCCAGTTTGAGAGTAGGAATCAAGCCAGAGCTGGGAGTTGGACCACCCATCTTGTGACCCTTTTCCAATTCCTTGGAACCTTAAAGTTCCTCTCATGGGCCTGCCAGGCAGCAGCAAAACCAGCATGTGTGAGGTTCTAGCCCTTACCCCTCACCTCTCTGGGGTCCAATCAAGTTCCTCTTTGAGTCCCAGTCTCTCCATTGGTAACTTTACAGCTTAGGTAAAGGTACTGCCACAGCATCCATCCCAAGGCCCTAAGGAATGCTGGGAAGAGCAAGATGTTAAAAGAGCTGGTTGAAGGCTCCAAAGACATGAACACATTTAATTATCTCGTGTATCTCGATTATGTAATCAAATCTGGCCAAAATACATGGGACAACCTTCAGCCCTGCCCTTTCTCCAGAAGCCTCCAATCCCTGCCACTCTCCTCGGTATTCCCCTAACTCTTGCCTCTCCCCTCTTCCCAGTGCCTCCCTACTCCTTCCTGCCTGGCTCCCCCTAACCCCTCCTCTCCTGTCCCCAGTGCCCAGTGACTCCCACTGCTCTAACCTCTGAAACTGTCTATTGAACACCAACTCAACCAAGAGCAGTAAGATCAAGGCTTCCCAGTCCCAACCATATCCACCCCTCCCAAATGCCAATTTCTGGGTGGGGGGCACACACCGTCATCACGCACTTCACAGACTCTTCTTCCCTGCTGCAAGATTGGAATCAGGTGCTCCACCCCCTGGAAATGAGAACCAGTCCTCTCAGCCTTTGCCAGAGACAAGATGAGCACAGAAGGGACCCAGCTGAGATGAGACAGGGAGGGAAAGAAGGCCTTAGAGCCAGTAGTACTGGCTGCTTTGGGCAGGCACTGGACATTGAGCCCTGGGCACTGGGTTCTCAGAATCCCAACCTCCCTTCCCCCGCCCCTTTTCATCATGGAAAATCCAGCAGGGAGGGTGAAGGAGGGAGAAAGTTTCAGGAAGTGCTCACTGCTAAAGGACGATGGGGAATGTAGGAATGGCAATAAGTTCAGAACTTCTAGGAAGATATCCCCTACCTTATCCCTACCCTCCACCTTCCCCTCCAGGGTGGCACGACTCGAACCTGCCCTAGGGCCCATTAGCTCCATTCCATAAAGTTCCTATCCAGTACCAGGCACTGCAAAAGAAGAGAATGAAGTCAGACCATAGAAAGAACTTCCATCTCCATTTGGAAAGCCTGGACTCAAGTTAAATGTAAGGAAGACCTTCTCAGAGGTCTCCTGCAGAGTGGGAATGACGGTCCAGCTCTTTCAAAACAGGGCAATGGGCCAGGCATGGTGGCTCACGTCTGTAATCCCAGCACTTTGGGAGGCCGAGGAAGGGGAATCGCTTGAGCTCAAGAATTGGAGACCAACCTGGGCAACAAAGCGAAACCCCATCTCTACAAAAAATTAGCTGGGCGTGGTGGCGCCCGTCTGTAGTCCGAGCTACCAAAGAGGCTGAGGTGGGAGGATCGCTTAAGCCTGGGAGGCAGAGGTTGCAGTGAGCCGAGATCGCGCCACTGCACTCCAGCCTGGGCGACAGAGACTCCGTCTCAATGAATAAACAAAGCAGGGCACTGGATGGGATGGCTGGAGCTGCTTGCGGGTGGAGATGGGGGCATGAGCCTGATGGAGAGGTCCTCAGCTGTGAATCCTTTCAGAATACTAGCCCAGGAGGTCTCCTGTGAGGCAGAGGACCAGGGAAGGGTGTCCAGCGACTTGGGCCAAAAGTAACACCAGGTGTCTTCACCTGATTCAGGCGCCCGCCTGGGGTAGGGGACGCTAGCACCACCAGGGTAGGCCACGGGTGGTACTCTCAGGTCAGGCCCAACCAGGCACACTCCTGTCGGGAGGGTGAGAGGCTGAGGCTGCGCGGCAGTTCCCTGTCCCCTTGTTCCTAGTTTCTTCTGGACCTACGCCCACCGTTTCTTCTGCGTCTGTCTGGCTCGCGTGTTTCCTTTTGCCTGTGTCCCGCCGGGTCAGGCTCTCCCCGTCTCTGAGACTTTCCCGTCCCCGTGTCCTCCGCGGCCGTCTCTCTCCAACTCTCTCTCCCCCTCTCAGCCACTTCCTGTCTCCAGTATGTGCCTGGCTCGGCCCCGCTGGCCGTCTGCGCTCCCTCTTTCCCCTCGGCTCTTTGTGAGTGTGGGTTCGCGGGAGAAGGTGGGGAGGAGAGGAGGCCGAGGGGCGGGGAGCGGGCGGAACGTGGGGATTGGAGCCGGGAGGGAGGAGGAGGAGGAGCGGGCGGCCACGGGCGCGGGCGCGGGGCGCGGGGCGCGGCGGGGGCGGGAGGGAGCCCAGCCGAGCGCTGCCGCCCGCTCCCGCCGCCGCCTCCGCCGCCGCCGCCTCCGCCTCCCCCCATGTGACGCACGACGCCGCCTCCCCCGCCGCCTCCGCCGCCGCCGCCTCCGCCTCCGCCTCCGCGTCCGCTTCGCGCAGGCACAGGCAGGATAAAATGGCCAAGAGCTCCTATTTGCCCCGCCCGCCGCGCCCCCGCCCCGCCGAGCGCCCCACCAGGTAGTGGCCGCGCCGCGCCGCTGGTGGCGGCCTCTGCGTCACGGCCGCGCGGAAGGCGGTGCCAGGGAGCGGGCGCCGGGAACGCGGGGCCGCCGGAGGTTGAGGGGCGCAGGAGCGCTGGAGGTCGAGAGGGCCGGGGCTCGGCCCGGGACTGGGGCTAGGGACTCTGGCTGGCCGCGCGTGGAGCTGGGAGCGGCTGGAGGCCCGGACGTGACGCTGGGGGCGGGGCGCGGCCGCGGTCCTACTCGATCGAACCCAGCCGCCACGCCTTCCAGCACCTGGGCGCACGGGGCCGCGCGCTCGTGCCACACCGCAGGCCAGGACCCGGCAGCAGCGGGAGCGGCGCCCGGGACCAGCCTGGCAGGGTGCGGGCAGACATTTTCCTTTCCTGCTTCACATGTGGGACACACTGAGGCCCTAAGCGGGGCACAGACGAGGCTACTTCGACTCGCAGCCCATCCATGACCTACTACCCTTCTCTGCCCCCCCCGCAGGTGAGTGGCCGCGCCGCGCTGCGCGGGTGGCGGCCTCTGCGTCACGGCCGCGCGGGCAGTGCCAGGGGCGGGCGCCAGGGGGCGCGGGGCCGCCGGAGGTTGAGGGGGCGCGGGGCCGCTGGAGGTCGAGAGGGCGTGGGGCTCGGCCCGGGACTGGGGCTAGGGACTCTGGCTGGCCGCGTGGAGCTGGGAGCAGCTGGAGGCCCGGACAGTGACTAGGGGGCGGGGCGCGGCCGCGGTCCTACTCGATCAGGCCGCCACGCCTTCCAGCACCTGGGGCGCACGGGGCCGCGCGCCGTGCCACACACGCAGGCCCGGGACCCGGCAGCAGCGGGGAGCGGCGCCCGGGACCCGGCCTGGCAGGGTGCGGGCGAACGTTTTCCTTTCCTGCTTCACATGTGGGACACTGAGGCCCTAAGCGGGCACAGACGAGGCTACTTCGACTCGCCAGCCCCGCTCTGCGACCCCCTTCCTTCTCTGCCTCCATCCTCCAGACCCTTCTGGGCACACCCCCAGAGCCGCTGCCCTCCCTCGCTCCTTCCCTGGGCCTTACCCCTCCTCCGCGGCGGCCGGGCTCCCAGCCTCCCTTCCAACCACAGCTATTTCCAGGAAGGGGGGTGTGGGTGGAGGGGGTTCTCCAAACAAACCCAAGACTTCGGAGAAAGAGGGGGCCCGGATGGGGGAGAGGTTGACAGGCTCTGGAATGTTACAGGCGGGAGGAGGGTGAGGGTCCAAGTGGGTCTAGTGATGCCTTCCCAGCCCTCCTCAAGTGAGCTACTTTTCCCCTGGGGACTGGCTCATAGGGATTCCATCCCTGCCTCCCTTCCGAGGTGTGAGTGCCACAGGATGGGAGGGACTCACAGCCACAGTGGATCCTGACCACCCCACCCCTCACCGGACTCACTGCTTGGGCATCTCCTTGCTGGGTCTGGGTGGGGAGTGTGAGACCAGTGAAGGTGAGAGGATGTCTGGGGACCTGTTCCAGGTGAGGGGACTTTCAGCCCCTATGGAGGCAGCAGGAGAGCAAATCCTGTAGAGTCCTGGTCAGGGCCATGTGCCATAGAAGGTGGGACTGGACAGAAAAAAGCCACCCCCACCGCCCACCTTGTCACACTGCCTCATCTCCCCCAAGCAGGACTGGGGGCTGGACAAGGCCAGGCCCGGTTGCCCACACTGGCCAGGGGCCTGGAATGTGCTGGGACACAGCCAGCCTGGCAGGATGGGGGTGGGTCGCAGAGCCTATGCTCCTCTCCAGTTACAGGCTGGGGGCCCAGGCCTGCCACACAGATGCCACCTTCTGGCCAGGATATCCTGGGGACACACTTCTTGGCCTGGAAAATTGGAGCTTCAAGGGAGAGGTCTCAGGCTAGGCCCAGCCCAGTCAGGTTCTCACAAGGGTCTCAAGTGGGCACCCACAGCAGGCCTCACCCCAGAGAATGCAGGATTCTCCATCCCAGAGAACCCTTCCTGACGGGTATGAAGGAGCAGGAGGCAAATAGAAGGGATCCCGTGGGAGAAGCCAGGGCTGTGGGAGTTGCCTGAGTACTGGGACATTCAACAAATACCATGCAAATGAGAGGGGCACATTTGCACATTCTTTCAAGTGACAGCTACAGCCGGTCCCAGGGGCTGCTGTCCACAGCTTGGGGCTGAAGACTCCCAGGCCATTAACCCCTTAGCTTTTAGGGAGATTACTCCCCCTTTTCCAAGGCCCCATCCACCTCCCTCCCTTGACTCCCAGGACGGGAAGTTGGCCATGTTCCCAGGAGGGAGGCGGGAGGCCCATGGATGGGGGTGGAGTATGTGTTGGGAGGGGGGACCTCCTGTCCAGTCCTCAGGCCCTGGGACAGCTGCTGAGGAAGGAGAGCAGACCCAGGAGAGCCATGAAGGTAGTACTCAGGCTTCGGGGTTGCAGCAGGGGGAGGGTACAGCCCTTGGGTGGAGAGACCAAGTTGCAGGGCTGGAAAGAGGGCTAGGGATCTGTGAGCTCATGTCTGAAACAAAGCCAGGGAATGGGTGAGTGGGGGGCACTGTCAGGAGCAGAAACCTGGGGGCTTTCAGGAGAAGGGCCTCATATGCCTTAGGCTGTGGCAGGAAAATGGATTACTCCCCAAACCTGAGCAAAGCAGTCTTGTGGCTGGAACTTGGCCTTGCAAGGTGTATTGAGGGTAAAGGTGGGCGGTGCATGCTTTCCTTTTCCTACTTCATACAGAGTGAAACTGAGACAGGAAGGGGGCCCCCAGTCCCATTTTTACCTGACTCTCAGGACACACTCAGGATCCTGGGCCTGCCTGCTGGTAGTAGTTCCCAGCTCCACTCCCTCCCCAGCGGAAGTCCCTCAAGAGCTTGAGAGTTCTGGCTGGAGCCTGGCTGGGACACACTGTTCCCCACTTGCCCTTTAGCCCTGCCCTGAGACCAGAATTCTCACCCGGCCCCACTGGGGGCAGGATCTCAAGATCATGGATCCCTGCAGATCCCTGGAGAGTGTGGTGTCCCAGGTGTGGGACAACTCCAGAGTTGGGGAATGGGGGGAGCAAAAAATCACAGGCTGACACTCCCAGCAGGGTAGATCCTGGGAATCTGATCTCCTGGCCTCCCCCACATCCTCCCCCCTCCACTTCCTGGAGCAGCGACCTGCCCCCTTCCCGCCTGCACTTCCCTCCACTTCCAGGGCCGGGCTTCTCCTCACACCAGCCAGACAGCCTACCCTCCGCCCAGGGGAAGCGGCTGCCTCCGCCAGGCCGCTTCCAGGAAGCCCCGGGCCAGGCCCCAGCATTGTTCAGGCCCTGGGGCCAGCACCCCAGCCAGCAGAACACCATGAAGTCCAGCGGCCCTGTGGAGAGGCTGCTCAGAGCCCTGGGGAGGAGGGACAGCAGCCGGGCCACAAGCAGGGTAGGAGTGCCCACCAGCTGGGCAAAAGAGGGGCAGGGGTGGAGGTGCGGGCAGTGGGGGAGGGGACCTGGAATCAGGCCAGGCCCTCTTCCCAATTTCAGCTTCCTCAGCCTTCTCTCCTGGCCCAGCATCCCCTCCGGAGTGGCCAGGGCTGTAGTGTGAGGGGATGTTTGGGTTAGAGTGGGTACCGCTGTCTGTTTTGGCTCCTCTCACCTTCCCTGCTCTAGCCTGGGTCAACCCTGGGGGTCCTGGCCCCCCAAAATCTAAGCCCCAGGTACCTCACTGTAGGACTTTGCCACGCACTATCTAGGTATCCTAGAGCAGACTCAGAGATCATCAGGCCCCTTCCCTGGCCCGCGGAAGTTTGAGGAAAATGGGGTGGCAGGGCAGAAAAGGAGAGAGGAGAGGGAGTCAGGAGCGCTTTCAAACTGGAGGTTTGCTTTCCACTGACAGCATCCATATCTGCTGCTAATGCCTGCATGCTCCCAAGTGTCCTAGTGGGTCCCACAAAGTTGGTGCAGCCCAGAAGTGTTGCAGGGACAGTCAAAAAACCAGAGATGCTGCCCACATCCCCATCACTCCCTTTCCCAACTTCCCAGCCTTGCCCCAAAAGCAGCAGCTCAGGACAACCTGAGAGACTACTGTGATGGGTCCCCGGGAGGAGGACAGCAGGAGTCTGAACTCCAGAGGAGGGGGAATATGGGTAAAACAGAGAGGTGGCAAGGAGACAAGCTGTCCCCAGACAGAGGATAGGAGGAGTGAACCCACAGTGGGAGGGGAAGGGACTGAGATAGGCCTGGGCCATAAGGGGGCATCCCAGGCTCCTGCTTCACTGCACCTCTGGATCAGGAGGGGCTGAACAGGGAATCTGGTCCACTCCTTCCTCATTCAGTGTGTGAATGAATCCCAAGTGCCAGGGGGTCGGGGGAGAGCTCACAGCATCCAAAACCAGCTAAACATCTCTCCCCAGTGACAGGCCTCTGTTTCCCTCCAGCATGACCACCCCCCTTATCCAATTGCTGTCTGCTGCCTCAATGCACAATGAGTAAACATGTTGTTCTGACCGTGGGGGAGGAGGGCATGTCAGCTGCCTGGAGCGTGGGGACAGCAGGAGCTAAAGGAGCAGGACTGGCTGAGGCCACTCCTGCTGGCTCAGTCTG